AGCTCCTCCTCCCACCCCTTTCCACTTTAGCGGAGCGAACGGTAGAGAGGAGGTCGCCTCCCCTCTAGCGTTCGCACTATTAAATTAAGTGGAAAGAGGTAGGAGGAGCTTCCACTTCGTTCTTGACCTGTCACCGAGAGCGTTCATAATGACGTGGTTTATGGACACAATGGGTTATGGGATGGTGGCTAGAGGTTGAAGTGTGACGGATGCCGTATGCGCGCCATGTCAGAGAGGGGCGCGAGGTGTGATGAAAATCTTCGCCACCGCGAGGGGCGCTGCAGCCTGCAGGGGAGTCAGCGGTCTTGGGTGATCTGTTGGTTCGCGGGTCCCGGCGCTTTTCTGAGGCTGCTACAAGTTCTGCTGTTTTGGCTGTTTTCCAGGTGCGTTGTGTACACTTTCTCGTATGTGACTTCCGTCGTTTCACGCTTCGTTCGAGACTGCCGCTGGAAAGACCTTTCCAGCGGCAGCCTCGAACGAAGCGATTTACAGCGCGCGTCCTTGGCTTTGAGAGTGTACGTCAGTGTTGCCCGACTGCGCTGGGCTGTGGGTTTCCTAGTCAGTGGGATGTGGCAACCTGCGTAGGCGCACCTCCGGACGCTCGTAGATGCTAAATTGCCCCGTTCTATTTTTTTCATTTGTGTTCTATGGCGAATATAGTTTTTCGAATTTTTTAAGAGTGCATTGTACTATTTTTGGGAACAGAAACAAAAATATGAAAGCTGTTTTGGTGAGGCCGTGCGCGACAGAACAAATGCAACTGTAATATTTGTTTCATATTATGTTCATCTTTTTACGGCACCATACACTCAGCCGTGTGAATCTACAAAGGTTTTAACCGTCGAAAATATTTGACCACACAGGATATCCAAACTGCAGAAATATTCCCCGCCCACAACATGAAATTCAGCGAGTCTCATCAATCGAATAACATATATTGTACGTACCCCACAGTGCCGCGTTATCCGAACAGGATTTGAGAAAGGTCTAAAATAACACAGCATATCCAATATACAGTGTCGACGACAGTCACTTGACGACGATCGGACGGAATCCGGCGTGTTTCGGGGCACATGTGGAATAGAGCTGCTTTTTCGCACGGCTTCAAAGCAAATGAACGAACGTGCCTATCCTAGGGTGCCTACATCTTTCCGCCGCTCCGCTGCGGAAACATGTAAGCACCCTAGTCTATCCCGTCCCCACACCCCGGACCCGACCCCATCAGCTATTTTTCGCGAAGACCCGGAAGGCTTTTTGGAGATTATCTCAACGGAAATAATCCTCCAAGGACGCTGAAGTGCCTGCGTCGCGAACTGCTTGGCGTTCGCTCTCTTCGTTCGTTTCCTGTGAAGGCCGAGCAGGCTACGAGCCCAGGTATTCCCTGGCTGTCAAAGTGAAAGATAACGCACAAAGGGTAAGCATCCTAAACAGGCAAATAAAGTAAAAACTTCCAAGAAAAGCTGGCGAACTCCCAATGCACATTGCAGGCGGGGAGTCATGCTGACCAGGTTTCCACAGCTCAGGTGGGTGGCAGAAATGTCTGGCTGATAGGGGTCGCTCGAGTCGCAAAATGGTGGCGGCCAGAGAGCTATTTTTCACAGACCTATATTTTTTACGTTACGTTACGCAAAGTCACCGGGAAATTTGTGCTACCAATTCAAGGAGATAGCCTGGCACGCGACATTTGAGGCGCGAATCTAGCGTAAGAAACCGGTGCTGTGTGAGTAGTTGAACCTGTTACGACGAGCCTTGTGTTTGGTTGCCACGGCAACTCACCCTGCGAGCTCGTCGTCACCGAAACATTATTGTCTCGAACGTCGCGTACCAGGCTATCTCCTTGAATTTGTAGGCACGATTAATACGAAGCACCAATTTCCCGGTGACGTAAGAAAACGGGAACGAGTCTTTATTGTTCACACAGACCCGTTTTCTTACGTTACGTTACGAGCAGTCACCGGGAAATGTGTGCTTCGTATTAAGCGTGGCTACCAATTCAAGTAGATAGCCCGGCACGCGACAATGGAGACACGAATGTTTCGGTGACGATGATGAGATACCGTGGCAACCAAGGACACAGGGCTCGTCGTAACGTAATGTAAGGAGCTCGGTTCAACTTTTTACACAGCACCGTTTTCTTGCGTAACGTCCCCTGCCAGACGGGCTAGTTTAGTGTCACTACAAGCGAGTGCACTTCGCCCTTAGTGTCATTTCTGTAGTGTGCCACACGGCTCCTTCCTGAGGAACACACTTGGCTTGGAGTGAGTTCGACGAACTCACTTCGTTCGATCGAGCGCGTGGAATCAGTAGGAGTGTTTCAACAGTAAAACATAACAACTCAGAAACCAAAAGCGTTGCGTAAGTTTTATTTTATAAAGAAAAAGAAATTCGTTAGAGACGACATGTAGAAGAGTGGCATTGCAAAAAAAGTAGTGGGTGGACTTGGAGTTTAGGCTTACCTGAATCAAGATTAGCGCAGCGGTGAATTTATAAAAGACGACGACAAAGTCAGTCATTCATGGCTGTCTTGGTTAGCAGAGAAAGATAGAGTCTACTTTTGTTTCGGCATGTAATTATTCGAGACAACACGATAATTATGATCTGATTAGGCAGTGTCAGGGCCTCCTCGTAGACTTCCGTGGAACGAAGCGGAACGCCAAAGTTGGATATGCTTCGTTCTTTATATTGGCTTGCGATGATCGATCAGAATTATCCAATTGGCGTAAAAATCGTTCATTAATGGAACGTGTTTAAGAGCACAGCTCCTAGGCACACTTTTCTGAGTTAAGTGGCGTCGGCGTAACCGCGCGTTGCATTAAGGGCTGTTTACCAAAATGACGTCACACTTGACGTCACGTGTGTCGTCACGTGTGACGTCACGAAGGTAAACTTTTCCCGCTAAATTTTGCGGTAAAAGTTTTTCTCAGTTTGGCGGAAAATTTTTCCGCTGAATTTAGAGGGAAAATTTTACCCGTTTGACGTCACATTTAAAATTTCAGATGACGTGTCATGTGACGTCACACGTCAATTCAGCGGGAAAATTTCCCGGCTAAATTTAGCGGGAAATTTAGCGAATATTTTACGCTAAGGGGGATGGGAATAGGAGAGGAGGATGGGAGGGTACAGAGGGGGAGCAGCTCGCATACCCTCCCCTTCGTACCCCGGCCTCCTCCCTCCTCTCAAGAGCTGCGCACCAATTCGGCATTACAGAGAATTGTAAACGTCTAATTTTTTTAACGTGTCTTTATTAAGGGGTATCGGTGGCCGAGTGGGCTAGCGCCCACCAAATCGGAGTACGTGGAGAGAAAGCTCGCGCTGGAGAACCCAGTGATCCTGAGCTCAATCCCCAGCCCTGCCCGAAGAACACACTTCCGATGAAGTGAGTTCGGGGAGCACACTACGCTCGCTCCGGCAGACCGAGTGTGTAATCTCGATAGCAGTGTTCAAGGAGTAGAACGAATAGAAGAAATTAACGCTACGTAAAATTAGTATTATTTGGATAGGAGTAATATTAGATGCGCACTTGTTTTCTGTTGGCAGGAAAGTAGTGCATTGTAGAAAAACAAGCGGCTAATCTAGTTTCCAGCCTTGGCCCCTGCGCGACGGCCAGCGACGGCCAGGAGGCACCTGCGAGGCCTGCGAGACTCCGCCAGGAATCTGAAAATGGCAGGAAAGACGCGAAAGGCTTGCTTGAAATGGAATTCGCCCAAATGGGGCAAGGTGTCTTCGAACCACCATTCGTTCCTCTGGAAAGTCCACCGTTCTCGACTCATCACGGGTAGGTTGTCGGTCATGAGAGCGGCTATGGTGAAGGCATTGGCCTGCAGCGGCTTATCGATTTCACTTGACATTCTTGCCTGTGCGTCGGCATCCAGGTCCAGCTGCCTCTCATCTGAAAGGCGTTGGGCTCTCACGGAGAAAAGTGCCCCAATCACGCGCTTCCACTGTCCAACATCGCGGATATCGCCCTCCAGCTCGTCCTCCACACACTCCATGATGTTTCATTGTGGCGAGTGGCCACCGTGCGAGTGGAGAAGTGGGCTCGCGCACACCAGCTCGGAGCACGCGGAGCGAAAGCTCGCGCAGCAGAACCCAGGAATCCTGGGTTCAATCCCTACTTCTGCTCGTTTCGATCTATACTCCGTTTCACCTTATGTAATACCGCAGACAAGGCTAGAATCGCGAGCTCATAGCGTTGGGAGCTACTCTTAACGCACGAGAGCTTGTGCCACCGAGATGTGCCCTGAGCAAGGAGCTCGCGCTTATAGCCTTTCCTGCGGTACGACACAAGGTGAAACAGAATATAGATGAGCATTTTACCGGCGTGCGGACGTGTATCACTATCTTGTAATGGCTGATCGTAATGATCAAGTTGGATTTAAATTTGAATTAAAGCTCGTGACTTAGCGCAACAATGTGTGGTAACGTGTTTCTAATAAGACGACGGAGTTATTTATGAAAAAATGCGTATGCACTGTAATATTTTGCGTGCCCATCACTTCCCCATCGTCATTGCCATCATTTTGGAGTGACACTAAGTTTTCCCGTGTAGCACCAACACACTTGGAGTGTGTTTCGGCGGGTTGAAGTGCACTCGCTTGTAGTGACACTAAACTAGCCCGTCTGACAGGGGTATTAGTCGCCGAAACATTCGTGCCTTGAATGTCACGTGCCCAGCTATTTCCTTGAATTGGTAGCCACGCTTAGTACGAAACGCAAATTTCCCGGTGACTTTTCGTAACGTAACGTAAGAAAACGGGTCTGTGTGAACGAGCCTATAGGAAGTATTCACTGGCGGCCATAGCTGTGTGCGCGACTGCTGAGCGCGTGCTGCTTCCAGGGTTTTTTTTAAACGTGCATTCCACACCGTCAAAAGGGCCGGTCTTAGCAGCCTATTAATGGGGGCTCGTTCTGAGCATGCGCTCTAGAGAGCACCCACAAATATGGCGCCCAGTGAATACTCCTTATGAAAGGACGAACCTGTTAAGTGCCGGGCTGCAAAGGTGGGTACAAGTCATGCGCGGTGAAGGCCTCACTTTTTCGACCGCCGACAGACGCTCTCCGGCGAATACAATGGGCACAACACATAAAACGGGCGGACAAGGACCTGACAAGCGACTTCGCTGTTTGGGATCGGCACTTCGAGGAACGTTTCATTGAAAGGACGTTTCGGCATATAATCGGCTGTGAAATTGTCGAGATGCCGCGGGATCGGCCACAGCTGAAGAGCGACGCCATTCCAACGGTGTTTCCGGATGCGCCAAAATATTTCACGAAGAAAGCTCCATTAAAAGGAAGGAAAGGAACTTATGCGAGCAAGGCCCGCCTCCTGCAAAGAAAAAGAAGAGGACCGCTGTAAACGACGCTGGACCATCAAACCAGCGAGACGCCGGCGAAACGACAGCACAAGATGAGCTTCCAGACGAAGCAAAATTGGACTATCTCTGCGGAAATCTCCTCCTACCAGACACCTGCTGGAACAAGCTACGCTTTTCTGGGGAACCAGGCATTGTTTTCTTTGGCCTTTGCGAACAGAAGGGAGAATACGTGGACCATATGCTGCTGCCAACGTTGACCAAATTCAAGCAAGCAAGTGACAAGCCGGGGCCAGTAATCTGCTCTGTGTTTCTGAGAGGCAAATTTCACAAGAAATGTGCTGTGATGTCGCCAGATGAGGCGCAAGCAGTACTTAACACCACACATTCGCTTGGGATGTGCACAGGCTGCGGATTGGAATCTAGCAATGGAAGCCGGTATGTGTCATTTGCTGGCTCTACTTTTTCTGTCACGTGCAAACTCACTTGCGACCTAAAGGGGCGATGCATCCACTGCAAATACCTGAGAAAGCTGGTCCAAAACCAAATGTCACGAAAGAAACGCCCTAGGGCAACAGTTACCCTCCTAAGAATGCACGCAAACACACGTCGTCGTTCGCGAAGCGCACAAAAGAAGCTGCTCAACGCGGAGAAAGAGCTAGAGGAAATGCGAGTGGACAATGAGCAAATTGCGGATGAAGTGCTCAACGACTGCATTAAAGGGCTGCCTCCAAATCAACAAATGGCTGTGAGGACATGCTTCAAGGCAGCAACACGAAAGTCGACATTTGGTATGAACTATGAAAAGGAGTGGATACTGGAATGCGTGCTTCTACGCATGAGAAGTCCCAAACTGTACAAACACCTGCGCAGGCACAAAATACTCGTCTTGCCCAGCCGGACTTGCATGCAGCGTTATGTGCGCAACTTCAAAAGCGGTTTCGGATTCAACGACAGTGTCTTCAAAGCGCTTGCTCTGAAAACTCCAAAGACTGACATCTGCACTCGGCACGGCGGCATTGTCTTTGACGAGTTGAAGTTGTCTGAGGCTCTGAGCACTTCAGTGTCAACACATCAGGTATGTAATAGCTTTTTCTTTCCCTCTTTTTAATAGCCCAAATAGAAGAACATCAGTTTTGCACAGTCATGGGTAAGTTACTTTTAAAAAGTATTTCGTTACAGTTACAGTTACTTTTAGAAAAAAGTAGCGAAGTTACCGTTAAAGTTACCGCAACGAAAGAGCAACTCGTTACGGTTACTTTCAAAAAGTAACCACGTTACTTTTCAGTTACTTTTCTATAACGCAGAAATTAAGGAAAAACTAGTGCTTGAAAGAAAAAAATATAGACACGAATCAGTTGGGCTTCCACCATAGCGGTAAATTCAAACTTAGTAATTTAGCTGGAAAATTAGTCAATATGAAAAGAATAAAGACCAAAACTCAACTGGATGCGTTTTCTCAGTTTTGAACACGAAAACTTGTTGTCGGAGTACTCCTTGTTGCAAAGTTTGCATACTGCGGTCAAATAGTTAGCAACCACCTTCACCACAGAAGATTACTTTCTGTACGCCGGCCATGCTAGTTCTTTGTTTTCATCAACATCCCTATCCTTGGTAGCACTAGCACATTGCTGGCTCGTTGGCGGTTGCGCTGGGTTCATGGACTCCTTTGATATATTTCAGTACGTACCCGGCAAACCAGAAACAAGCCCTTCGCAAACAGCAGTAAATTTTGCCTCCACCGTTGAAACCACGCCGGAGTAGTGGCGCAAGTCAAAATACGAAACATGCGCAGTGCGGAGTAGTGGCGCTAATCAAAATACGAAACATACGAAGTACTCTCCGCGTGTATTTTTGTTTCACGGTTGATTCACTCGATTAAAAAGCGTGCGCAGAAAAAAGAAAAACAGTAAAGGGTGCTTCAATATACTAAGATGTAAGTGTTCAGTCACAAAGTACAAGCAAGTGCGTAAAAATAACTAGATTCATCTTTTTTTTTTTTTCATATTTACACGTGGCTATATTCGGATAGTGACTCGCGAGAAAGAAGGTATTCTCAAGTTTGTGCAAGGCCAACTGACACTCAAAATGTCGGAACAGACAATTTGGAAAGTGCAAGGAATAGCTAGATTATACTCGTACAATGATATATTATTCACAAAACTGAAAAGTAACGACAAAAGTAACGTCGTTACTTTCATCGTTACCTCAGAAAAAGTAATAGAACTACAGTTACAAGTTACATTCTTAAAAAACTAACTCGTTACAGTTACAAGTTACCGAAAAAGTAACGAAGTTACAGTAACGCATTACTAGTAACGAGTTGCTACTCAAGACTGGCAGGAATACACGTTTCACATGGGGACATCCGCCCACAGCCCCAGACCGGAAGTGGTCCGACGCGCCACCACCGCGCCGTGACGAAGGCTGAACTCCATGGGAAGAATATGCTGCGAATAACCGACGAATTTTGCCCGGCGGCTTTTGCTCTGCGCGGGGAATGAACACAGTGGCTGCTACGTCGCGCGCGAAGCGAGCGTGCCGTCGGGTGGCGTTCGCCAGTTATTCGTCACATATTTCGTTCCATGGAGTTGAGCAGTCTGAGTTGGTGTATAACATCTTTCCCTGCACGCGATGAAAATGTCCTTCCCTCATAAGATGGCACCTATGTTTTAACATTTAAAGCAGCGAATACCCGTGAAAAAGTTTTTTCCATTGGTCACCTCGCACGGAGATGGGCAAAACCAATGCATTGAGGAGAATCCGACTGCTAGCAGAGACTCTGAGCTCGGCAGGGGCGCTGCTATCACTTTTCGCCTAGGGAGCCTACATACTCGCCGACCGAGTCGGCGAGTATGTAGGCTCCCTATTTTCGCCTATTTTCAGCCGCGCGCCGCGGGAGCTGCTGGTACTGGCTTACATGGTCGTCCGCTTTCGCCGGCCACTAGGATATCCATTGGACCTACAATTTTCCACATGGATGTTCTGACCCTTTATGTAGGTCCAACGGACATTCGGTGTTGCTGGGGTATTAGTTTCAAGTTGATTCTTTTTTTAACTCTGTTAACCAGTAAACAAACATATCCTCAAAGTAACTGGCAGGAAGAAGTGGTGGCTGACCTCCGGAGTATTTTTAATTAAATCCTGGCTTATTCAGCGGGTCGACGCGAAGCTTCCAAGACCCCGCAGGCAAAGTCTGAAGGGATACTACAGCGAAATGTTGGCGCTAATTTTTTGGTCTATATGTATTCAAAAAAGCAGTATCACGTCGAACACACCAATATAATAATAATAATATTTATTCAACTCGGAAAGAGTTGCGACACTACAAAAGGCGAGGAGCCCATACCAGGAGGTCTGTGGTGCCGTAGTTACATGAGCGACAAAAAAAATGCATAAAAAAACAACAAAAAGAACGACAACAAAAAGTCATGAAAAGGAATTTTGAAATGAAATGATTAGCAAGAAGCACCTGGTGGATATCGCTAACGCCTTGTTTGTAATGCCCGTCTACACTCTATCAAAAAATGACTACCCTGGGTAGTCAAATGGCGCTTTGGAGGCTTTGACTACCCCAAAAAGGCGAGTTACTAGCCTTTGGGCAGAGTGACGACCCCAAACCGCTGTGGAATGACCGCCTTTCTGCAGGTGACGACGGGGTGTGGTCATTTTCGAATCCGATATTCACGTGCAGGCAGTCGTAAATGATATTAGTAACTTGGATAACTACTGGAAGACTATAAATGATATGCTTCCTTAGCTTTCGTGATCTTTTAAGATCCGAGAAGATCACATATGTTGTGCAATTCGCGTAAATTGGTGGAATAAACATTTTGTCAGCGCGAGCAGCAACACTGGTCTCAACAGCCGTGGACCGTGGTGGGTTGTAGCTGTGGCAACATAACAACAACTAACGGCGTGGGTGTTTTCCGTACTGAGGTGAGGATATCTTTCTGCCCTAATTTATTGCAAAGAATATTTAAAAAAAAAATGATTAGTTGTATATCTGATCGTGTTAAACCATTGAACACTGGGACCGAAGATCGGCAGGGTAAACATGCTCAGAGGTATGTGACTGTGTCGCCCGTACTGTTTTCATCAATCTCGGACTGGTTGAATTTCTGAGCTGCACCCGTCGTGGTTGTGATCTCCTGGCTGTACGTACGTAGTGCGTGAACTTTCCAATTCAGTAGCAGGTTGAAATTCAGTGGCAGCGTAGTAATTGGCTTTTACTAGATTGCTGTGTCGTCACGAGCGCTATTTGTGCTTTTACAAGCGCCAGCGCGAGCCCGAACTTTCGCCTCTTTCACCGTTTGCGTTCTTCTGGTTTGATGTTCTGCTCTATGATTTATTAAACCTAAATCTAAAGGTCAATCGCCTCTGCCTCGTCACCCATCAGGACACCCCATAGCGCTGCCGCTCTACCGGCCCTTCCTGGATGTCTCCTGCTGCCAAGTAGCAGCCGGATCGTCGAACCACCATCGTCGTCGCCTCTCCACCAGAGGATCACTACATGTTGGTGCGTCAGCTACCACTATATTTCGGTGCGTCAGCTACCGCTATATTTTGGTGCGTCGGCCGAGCCTATCGGCCCGTCCCGTTTCTTCGACTGTTTAACTCTTTTCTGGGCACAAAAAAAGCCCCCGCGGTTTTTCACAACGTTCTGCACTCGTGCTCATTAATTTTTTTTTTTTTTTATTATTAGGGCAGTATGTAAGCTTTTGAGGTTCTTTGCAGTGTTCCAACACTTGTGTTCCTTCAGTTCTTTTAGGACAGTAAATAAGCCCCTGATGTTCTTCACAGTGTTTCAACGCTTGCGATTGTTCAGTTTACCAGTCTGCCTTGCAAGACGTGGCCCTTCAAACCTTCTGATATTTTCCCCTTGGCCGGTCGCTCTGCTGTACCCGGTTTTAGACTTTACGAAATTTCATTGCATTGAGACATGCTGCCCTATACTCCGTTTACCCCTAAGTTGAGACGGAGCCATATATGTAGAAAGTTTGGCCATTCGTTGGGAAGTATAGGAGACAAATGAGGAAGTGCCATTGGCCGAAAGCAGGCTGGGTGTGTTCTAGGGCGTCTTCACAAATTCGAATGTGGCCAATCAGAAGCCGGAAATAATACCCTGGCGGTGGTTGCGAGAAACAAAATTCATAAGTGTGTCGGAGTAACTCTTGGTGACTGAAAACGTGGTGCATGTAATGTTTCAATCATGGCAATCCGAAATTATGGTGAAAGAGTGCGACTGGCGGAACGATCAACATAATCCGTGAGCCGAAGGCCGGGAATCTACCGTCTGAGCGGTCACACTCTCCCCGAGCAAAACAGAGTTGAACGGCACATTTGTTTCTTACATCTTTCTGCATGATCATGATTGTAACATCCTGTGCACCCTATTTTAAACCATGAAGGGTCACTACACTTCACACTTACGTGCTTATTAAAACCATACACTAACATATACCTATGATTAAAACAGTTTCTCGCTACTACCGCTAGGGACTCTTTTAGGCTTCTGGTTGGCCAAGAGAGAATGTCAAGTCCACTTTCTGCTTCTGGTGCACGCCCAGGCTCTGCCTGTACCTAGCACTGACTAAACACTCTCTAAACACGGCTCTGAGCTGAGACTGCAGTGGGAACTACTTGCCCGCCAAACTAATCAACCACCTCCCTTTCATGACCTGACCCAGTCCTCGGTCTGTGGATATGAGCGGGAGTGTGATCACGTGGCGAAAGAGGGATGTATGACTGGTCCATTGAGGACTGTAGCGTCTGGGAGGGTGACGACCTCAGGCGCGGACCCACTAGTCGGGGCTGTGGCTCACTGCTAGCATGGTCCCGAGGAAACAGGCCTTGAGTGGGAGTACTAAAGTATAACTTTTATATACAGAGAATATACAAGTAACATGGTCGACTGGTTAATCGGCTATCGGCAGTCAGCAGTCGGCGACTTCGGGCTCCCCGAGCCCATGTTATATAACCCTCCGAGGGCGAGAAGTCCCGTGGAGCGTGAGAGGAGACTTCCAGGCATTCACATGGTGTCCGAAGTTAGGCTGATGCAATTTCCGGGTGTTCTTTCGCCAGGGGCAGATGATGCAATCCCTCCACGTTCTTGCCCCTCTTCGGCGGCTGATGCAAGGAATCGACGCTCTTGCTGAAACCCAACACCGACGGACCCACACACACACACAGGTACGCACACGCACGCCGGT